ATGTGATTGGAACATCAGTTAATGCAAACTAAATAAGATTAGATTAATAAATATAAATAAGAATATTATTATTTGAATTAACCTGTGAACCAAGACCAAGTGCTAATAACATTAAAAAGAATAGAATTGAAAATATTGAACTAGCTGGCATATGTGAAATAGCTTCAGGATATGTTATAAATGCTAAACCAGGACCAGATGATTGAGCATATTTTTCAACGGGTTCTTTTAATTCTGTCGCCAAATATCCTATTGTTGCAACTACAGCAAAACCAGCAAATACTTCAGTTAGACAATCACATGATACAACTATACACATTTGTCTGAAAAATAAAAAACAAATTTAACTGAAAGTTAATAATATAATTGATTAACCGAAAGAAATTATTTTTGAATTTATTTGATGCTGAATATGCCATTAATGAGCCAAAACTGAGACCAAGTGAAAAAAATACTTGAGAAGCAGCAGCTTGCCAAGTCTGAAATTAAAAGTAAAAAAAATGTTTTGTTTTATTTAAAATTATGTCTACCTCGAATTCTGCAACAAGATCCCATCTTGGAATAACATAAAATTTAATACCTTCAACAGCTCCTTTCAACAATGAACTTTGAATAATTAATATAAGAAGTACAATGTATGGAACAATAGCTGTAAAATAAGCTATCTAAATGAACATATATTTATATATGTGAAGGAAAAAGTTAGGGATAAAACAGGCTAATCAATGGAAATGAAGGAATAGTAGGAGCAGAAGGATATTAAAAAAAAGGACGAGAAGGAGGATCATTAGTCATTCAGGATTAAATGTTTATCATTTTGGTTCTTCTTTTGGTTTTACAAGTTTTGTTGCATCATCTGAAAATAAATAAAACAATGTCTAAGTTTTTTATTAATTTAGATTTTTTTACTTTTTCTTGTATATAAATTTAATAATTGTTGATTATAATCTGCTTGTTGTAGAAAATGATCTCCAATTTCTTCTATAAGTTGCATGATTTGTTGTTTTTTTTGAAGTATTAAAGTTGTGTTTGTTTTATTTAACAGATGAATTTGTTCAATCTAAACATCAAAACGTATTGGAAGTTAATTCAAGTATTCTATTACTTTTTGTATAATATCAGCAATAGTGATTTGCTCCATGGTTTAAGTGTGTGTGTGATGAAGCTTTAAATAATCTAAAATGCATGGATATAGTTAGGCTCGTGTATTTATTTATTTTTTTTCTTCAGCGATATTCTCTCTCTCATGCGGTGGTGGATATTTTTCTATTCTTCTTTTCTTTTAACCTTCTGGTCGTATTATATGGGCAAGGCAATTATATAAACATATAAGTATACCAGTTAAATTATTACAAGAAAAAATGAATTTAAATAAAACTGATGAAGATAAATTCTCTTTCTCGTAGAGAAGAATCCAGCAGAAATAAATTATTTGCTTGCTTGATTGCGTGTCCGTAGGGTCAAAAAAACATCGAAAATCGTATTTTTCGAAAAATACATTTCTAGTAGTTTTTTTTATGTGGGGAGTTCGAATTTGAGGTCTGTTGGGTGACCACGGTTAGGGTTGAGTGGGTGTGGGTGAAAGGTCAAAAAAACATTGAAAACCAATTTTTCACGTTTTTTATTTGTTTTTCCAGTAAATGTGAAGCGAATGGATTTCTGCGAGAAAGAGCTAAGCGAGTCCTCGGACGAGCGTTACTTGTTAGTTACAACAATTTTTAATAAAATAGCTGGAGCATTACTGCAGTATGAAATATTATTTTATCGTAATTGGCAGTGTAGTACTGATTTAATTAAAAATAGTATGGAAGCTAGTGTTCTTATTGGTAATCTAGAATCAAAAGTATATAGAAATTTAATTCTATTTTTTTTAAATAATTCATTTATTTTAGGAAGAATATGTTAGTTTTGATCCACAAGTATTAGAATTAATTCAAAAAACAAAGTAATGATTTTATACTTTTTCCATTAACGATCATAAGTAACAAATCTGTCAATTTGACTTTCTCATTTTGGAGCATAAAAAAATATAGAATTATCAATAAATAATAAAACTCATTGAAATAGTATATTATATTATTTAATGTTAAGACTTCATTTTAATCTGATTATCATACAATTTTCACTGATTTTCAATTACTTCTAATTGTCGTGAATACCTTGTAGTTGATTAACGTTCTTTTTCATATATATTTATTAAAATATTTGAGTATCGATATTTTATAAAATTAATAAGAATATATTAATAATATGAAATGATTAGAAGAAAATGTAAAGTAGTACAACTTTTAAACAAAGTTTATGATAATTAAACTCAAAAGGATTGACTTATAAGAAAAAGTTTTTATGGATCTGATACTTCATAACTATAAATATTTTAGTTAATATTCTTATTGAAGAAACAAAGGAAGGAAGTTGAATAAAATAGTTGTTCAAATATCGATATTATTCAACGATCGAATTATATTCTTGACAAGTATTTTATTGCGCTATTTCTTCCTTATAAAAATGTAATTATCAAGTACATTTATTTGTTGATGTTAATATGACATGTTCAACAAAACCTTGCTTAAAAATAAACTATAAGAGAAAAAGAAAAAGAAAGATTCGATGTATTTATTCAGTAGTCATTCTTTTTTTTTCTCTTTGTTAATCCTAGAAAATCATTCTTTTATAAGACAATGTCTCTCCTGATGTATGTTATTTCATTTATTTTTCTTATTATTGCATAATAGAATTTTATTTATTTATTTTGAAAAGATAAAAATCGAAGTTCTAATGGCAGAACATATAGATAATAATAAATTAAATGATGATGTTCGTTATCGTTTTGATTATTTTTCCAAATTTATTAATTTTACATCTGAAGATATAATAGCATTAAATACTTTAGCATCATCAGTACTTCCACTTATTCCAGTTATTGTTGATTCAGTTTATAGAAAATTATTTCAATATGATGTTACAAAAGAATATTTTATTATAAATAATGATAAATATGATGGAACATTAACAAATAATGAAAATATATCATTAGAATCAACACAAATGATTTTTCGAAAAGATATGTTAAGTGGCTATTTAAAACGTTTACTTTTACAACGTGAATGGACAAATGAATTTCTTGAATATCTTTCTCGAATTGGACGAATGCATACAAATCAACTTGGATCATCATCAATTAATGTTGAATATCTTCATATAAATACAACATTAACTTATATAGAAAATCTTTTTATTGAAAATGTTTGTTCAAATGATAATTTTGATAATTTAACAAAAAAAAATATTTTATTAGCATTAAATAAAGTATTTCGAATTCAAAGTGATTTATTTATTATTTATTTTCTTCAACCATCAACAGATCATTTATCAACACAAACAATAAAACATAAATATCAAAAATGTACTTGTAGTTGACATTAATTTTCATTATTTATTGGAAACATATTTTTTCTATTAAATATAATTAAATAAAGACCAAAAATTATTCACATATAAATAAAAAACATTGATCATTGGAATAACTGTCAAATTCCAGTTATTACGATAATTTTGATTAGTGTTCTTGTTAAAAGACGTTCCTTTATATTGACAAATTTAATTAATAAAATTCTTATTCAAATATTTCATTTGCATATTGTCACAAAAATGATGAAATGTTCTAACGATTTAATTATCAAACTTACTTTTATTCTTTTGGGATTATATGAAAAGCTTTCTTTATTTCTAGGCAAATTGTCTGAAATTTTTATTTTTATCTCTTATTTATTTTGCTCCTTCATATTTCAATAAATATTTTTTTATTTATGATATCTACATCGATTTATTATTTATTTAATGAATATGTTTGAACTGTACATGAAACAAAATGTGTTTTTGAGAAACAATAAATGATTAGATTTATTTTCTTTATAAATATTTGCTTTGTTTTATTAATATAATATTTACTATCTATTAAGAAGAATTATGATAAAGATAAGTTTTCAAAGAATAATATAAATCATCATTTAGAAATATTAAGCTCTTTGAAAAAAAATGACTGGTTCTTTCATGTAACAAATTTAAAAAAAAAAGATCAATTATTAAAATCGATTTACTTTTGAAAAGAATTATTTTCGAACATTGTATTGCGACGACATTATTTCTCCCTTTCGCAATATAATATTTGAAAATAATTAGAAGAAAATAACAAGACAATAAAATCTATTAATAGAAATCGTCTTATATTTAATGTAAACATTTCTTTCATGATAAGTTTAGTATTGAAAATAACCCTCTGATAGAGGCCGAAAGCTTCAGTGTACTTTTTTTTATGTAAAATATATAAATGATTGATGAATTAGTTTACCTTACAATTACTTCGTTCAATTATATCTCATCAAAGAATATTAGTTTCTATAAAGTATGTTACATGTCTTATTTTATCTTTATCTATTATATTTTAAAAATATACGAAAGTGGTAAATATATGAAATCATAGAACATTACAATCAACAATTTTATGTTAAAAACAAATTGTTGTATATTAATCACTGACTACAGATGTGAATATATAATTTAGTAATAGATCTTTTTTTAAAAATAAATATAAGTATAACTATCTATTGTTCTTTGACAAACATATGTGCTTATCAGTGCACTTTAAAGCATAGAAAGTATTAGAACAAAGATAAGTCATACATTTTTCTTTCTTTTCGTTTGAAGTAATTCGAATCAAAGGATAATATTAAAACATTTTATTCTTTTCGATTGAAAACTAGCATATTATGTCAGAAGGAAATCGAGTAAGTTATTTGAAATATATTTAAATTTGTGATTAATATAAATAATATTAATTAGTTTTATTCATATATATATATATATATATATAGAGATTAGATATAAATTCACTAATATCAAAAACATCTCAACCAAAAAATCGCTTTATTTTATATGGTATATTATGTTTAATTATAATTAGTCTTACTGTAACAACTATTATATTTGGTGTTTTATGGAAAGGTGAAAAATCTAAATCGAATTCTATATATGCAGTTGCAAAAGGTACTATTGGTTTTCCTAATCGTTTACCTGATGATGGAGAATATATCCAATGGACAGTATTACAATTAAATGATGTTTATGAAATGTTACCATTAGATGAAGGAAGAAAAGGTGGTTTAGCTCGTGTTGCTCGTGTTCGACAATTATTATTAGAAGAAAATGTTCATACATATACAATATTATCAGGTGATTTTCTTTCACCATCAGCATTAAGTCAATCAATAATTAATGGAACAACATTAAATGGTCGACAAATGATTGCATCTATGAATACATTAGGCATCGATTATGTTGCATTTGGTAATCATGAATTTGATTTAAATGAAACTGAACTTATTTCACGAATGAAAGAATCAACATTTACATGGATTGCTTCCAATGTATTTCAACCAAATAATGATCAACCATTTTCATCAAGTATTAAATATAAAATTTTAACAATTAAAAATATTCAAATACTTTTTATTGGTTTAACAATTGATGTTGATAAATCATATGTTAGAATAATTAATCAAACATCACTTATTCCATTTGTTCAACAATTTCTTAAAAATATATCTCATATTAAATATGATGTTTTAATTGCATTAACACATGTTGATTTAGCAACAGATATAAAATTATCAGAAAATATTCCTGAAATTGATTTAATTTTAGGTGGACATGAACATGAAGATTATTTTTTAGCTCGAGGTTCAAATTATATTCCAATAACAAAAGCGGATACAAATGCATATACTGTTTATATTCATCGATGTGCTTTTAATATCAATACAAAACGTTTTCGTGTTTATAGAACATTAACAGAAATAACTCCTGAATTAGAAGATGAACAAAAAGACAGCTGATGTTACTAATTATTGGTTTAATTTAGGTATAAAAGGTTTTGAACAAATGGAATTTCAACCAGATAAAATCGTATCTTGTTTACCACCTGCAATTGAATTAGATGGTCGTTCGACATCAGTTAGAAATTTTCCAACATTATTAACTGATTCAGCTTGTGAAAGTATTTTAAAAACAACATCATCAAATGGAACAATTGTTGGTGTTTTTAATACTGGATCAATACGTATTGATGATATTCTTCATGGAAAAATAACCCAATATGATATTTTACGTGTATTTCCATTTCAAGATAATCGTTTTTCTCTTTCTGTACCTGGTTCATATCTTGCTAATGTATTAACTCGCAGTATGACATTGAAAGGTAGTGGAACATTTCTTGCATTTTGTGGAATAGATACTCCAGATCAAGGAAAAACTTGGTTAATTAATGGAATAGATATTTCTAAAACTGGTCTCAAATATAATGTCGGTACAATAACTTATGCAAAAGATTTTGTATTTAATGATCCAACAGTTACAGTTTGGAAAGAATTTAATATTACACAAACACAAACTTTAATTAATTATTTACAAACAGAATATCCACCATGTTAAGCATTTTTTATACGAATTTTTTTAGTATGAAAATAAAATCTATATAAATAGCATAGCAATTTTTTCTGATTGAGATTAACAATGATCAGATTTCAAAAGATTTATCTTATATGTGAAAATAAATACTTTTTCATTATTCTTCATTCTTCAGATTTTCTAAATAAATATTATTTCAATCAAGTAGCGTCCTCTGACGATCTCGCTAAAGAATGGAAAATATATGTAGTGATGAATCAATTATTATATCAAATTGGAGAGAATTGTTCATTGATTGACGTTCAATTAAAATATTTCTCAAGTAAATATACTTTCAAATATTTATCGTCAACATACAGAACGAATAACATTTTTAAAACAAAAACAAGGTTATTTTATTAAAATAATAAATTTTGGAAATATTTTTTTAATTTTTATTTTAGAAAAGAAAAAAAAGAATTACTTTCATCAGTTGATCATTTAACATATGTGGTTCTCGATGGATTGAATGATGAGTAAATTATTCTTTATTTAAAAATAAAAAAAAAGAAATTCGATTTTATTAGAGTATCAGAATGTTATAAAAATGAAAAACGTATTGATCAAGCATGTAAACATATAAATACACAATCAAATCTTCTTCTAAAACAATCTCAAGCATGGATTAATCTTATTGGACAATTTACTGTTGCACTTAAAGTTCGATTTTTTTTCTTTTTTTCCGGAATTAAATTATATATATTTGATTTTTGTAGGAATTAGGTGATGTAAAGAATTATTCAAAAATAATTGAACGCGAATGTGCAACTATAACGAATACATTAGCAACTGTTCATCAAGATATGATTGTACAACAACAAAGTAAAATTTTATAAAGAATATTTTTTTTTGAATTTTACTCATTTTATTTTATTTTAATTAGATCGACAAACTGATAATAATATTTCGGAAATCTCAACGAATTTATCTTAACTATTCGCTATTTTCTGTATATTTATTCCTTTTTATTAAATAAACATTAACAAAAAAAAGAGATAATATATCATTAACTTGAAATATGAAAATTATAATCGATTATATCTTTGCAAAATACTTTCAAACATCTGTAATACAATGTTCGAAGGACATCGTTAGCTACTCAACTGAAGAAACTCATGTTATGCATTACGTTAAATAAAGGAAAAATGAATTCAACAATTGTGCAAGAGTAACCTCTTTAGACTTAAACAACAATCGCTGATTATTTATGACAAATGAGAAGATAAAATACAATAAAGAGTATATGATAAGTTTAGGAAATATTACAAGTTGATGATCTTTGTGTATTAACCGGTGTATACAATTGATTAGAACGACGATAATGACTACAACTATTCATATGATTGTTTAAACGATCTTTTTGAATTTTTTTATAATCAGCAAAACATTCCCAACAAAATTCATGTTGACATTTTTTACATATCATATGATCACATCCAGAAATTTTCTCAATATATGAATGACATTTTGGACACTTTTTTGAATTTTTTTTCAACCATGTAAGTGTATCAAAGTCAGTAGATGAAGTTTTCCATTGATCATATTGTTTACATGTCATTGCAACATGCCATTTTATACGATGAAATATACATGTTCGTTTTTTACATTTAATACAAGTCATCATTGGATTTGACTGTATACCCATATCATGTTATTGTCCTGAACCACATTCATTAGATGCACACCAAACAAATTCTTGAATTTTTTCAAGATGTTCATATGTTATTTGTCGGTCATATCGTTCAAATAATTGTAAATTATCTTTCAGAGAAACAATAGAACGAATAGAATTATAATAAAATATACTTTCACAATTAGGCTCAAGACAGTGTATATTATTATTATTATTATTAGTTAAATTTTCAAGAAGAGATTTTATATTATTATATACACATGTATTACATATAGTTCGTTGAGAATGTTCACATTGATCACTATAACGTTCTTCATATTCAATAATTGGTTGATCTAATAAACAAACAGTACATTCACGAATTTCATTTCTAAAAAAGATTTAAGAAAAATTATCAACTATAACTTATTTTTTGTTTTGTTTCATATACTTGGTTAAAGGTAAGGATAATCGTCGTTGAGAAACTATTACTTTTGAACATTCACTTATTTAATCATTAATTTGTACTTTCGATTTATGATAATGGAGATAAATCTCTTTTCATTTCTGATTCATCACATCTACCTAAATTAATAAATTTACTTCGTATTTTTCATTTATATTCTCGTAGACATATTTAAATTATTACTAAAGGGTGTCTATTTATATTTATTTTAGTTTAATTCATGAATAAAGATTCTACACTGTTTTCATATTAGTATCAAGTTCAATAATTGACTATAAAATTTTGTATCCTAGATTTCTATTTTATAATATTGAATATATTTTTTTACGCATTACTCATTCAAAGAAAATCGCAAGTAATTATTAATCTGATATTAATTCGGACTTCTTTGGAAATTAGAAGAAAGCGTTTATTTTGAAATTCATCTGATTTTTCAGACATGTTCAGGATGCTATTTATTGAACTATTCAAAAAATTGTGCTTATGGCTTCGTTTCTTAAGATATACTTGCTATTTTATGTCCGTTTTTTTGCATTCATAATTGTTTCAGTTACGTCGTGCTTACAAATTTAAGTCAAAAGATAAAAGTGTGAATTACAATCGTTAAAAGGAAGATTTTGTTCGATTTACTTAGATAATAAGACTGTTCGCATCGTCTCAAAATTCATTTTAACTCAAATCATAAATCTTTAGAGTTTTTTTGATTTAAACTCTTTCAGTCATGAATTTTAATCTCTCAATTGATTGAAATCTGTTGATTAAACTGAATGTAAAAGTGCCTATTTAAATACTTGATTCTTGATGAATTTGTTTATTCTCAATAGACAAAGTATTTGACGACATTGTATTATCGACGTTTTTTGGTACTACAGCTAAATAATAAATTGAAATAGAGAATAGATATAAGAATATATACAAACGTCGGCTAGTTCTCGCTGTACGTTTACGAGAAGTTGAACGACCTGTTCTTGTCCTATTAAAAATACTACGAGGTTGACGATTCCGTCGAACCGGTAATAATGTAGTATTAAAACGAACATCATTAGAAAAGGTTCGTGAGAGTGTTAAATTTCGTTGCATAGTATATGTTTTGATTTTTCTTGTGCCACTATTCGTTAAATTCAAAAGTGAAAGCAAACAATGGAAAAGAAGAAGTTATATATTGTTGTTCCTGCATTGCCATGTACTCCTACGTTGTTATTTTTGTTTACAATCACAATATATATTTACTGTGCATGGAGAAATGATTTTTTCCAACATAAACTCCAATGGGCGTCATAATGTCAACAATACTGTATTTGATCGTGCGAAAGTTAAGTAAAATGATTCACTCTACTTTACAGGGTTAAATAAAGTACGGCACTTACTCATTTTACCCCTTCCCCCTTTCAAATTTTTTAATATTGTCTTATTTATTGAATTTTTATTTTTTTTATCGCTTTATCTGATTATCATTTCTGTCATGAGTATATCTCAAAACTAAGGCAACATTCACACCCTACAATAGTTTTACTCATATATCAAGCTAAACAAGGATATGTTCGAATTGTTATCTATAATAATCTATTCATAGATATGTCAATTATATATGTAGAGGCAAATAGTAGTGTAATATTAATTAGTGAATCTATATTATTTTATATTACTCATTAGATTCCTAATTATTTTTAAGTTAATTCTGTAATTGATGTTAAATGAATATATATATATAAAAACATCACAGATATTTATATTTATCGTATGAATAATCATTAATTCTTCATAAAACTCAACGAGAAAATTTTCAAAATATATACTATTGAAATTTTATGAAAAATATGCAACATCATACATACCATTTTTATTGTCCATGATCACGTTTTTGAGTGAAATAGGAAAAATCATTAAATTCATATTTATCTAGTTTTTATTTTTAGTATTCTAATTTAGCAATTCAGTAATAAAATACTGAAGTAATATTAAAATATGTTTCAATTCACGAAGACGGAGAGACAAATTTCATCGGATTTTTTTGAATCGATCTTTTTAGTATGTTTTATGATAGCATTATTACCACAAGCTCTTCTAAATTATCGTTTATAAAATACAGATAATTTATCAACATCAACAATTATATTATCATGGATTGTAGGATCTGGAGTGACATTAGTTTATTTAATTTGGACTGATGAAATATTAATTATAGCTGCTGCTTATGCAGTATTTATTGCTATTGCATTATTTATAGGTTGTCAAATTAAATATTATGATCAAGAGAAACAATCTATAAGTCCATCAGTTTCACAAAAATCAAAATATTTTCAGTTTATAATAAATTATATGTTATTATTATTTTTATCTTCTATATGTGGAATTCTTTTATATTATGTACTTCAACTAACAAAATCACATCTTTATATGTCAGTACTGATTGGAGGAGTTATTCTAGGAATTATTGATTCAATTGGATACTTGCCTCAAATTATACTAATTATTCAAATGAGATCTGCTGTTGGTTTTAGTTCTCTAACGGCTGTAACGGAAGTAATCGGTTTTACAGCTGCAAGTATATCAATATGTTTAGAACACCATATTGATATAATTCCTATGGCGTCATTTATTCCTGTACTTATATTCAATATTATTTTACTAGCGCTAACATTATGTATTTTTCCAGATACTAATAAAAATGGAAATAGAATACAGTCAGATTATGAATTAAGTCAAAATTCAAAAGGTATTTAGGAGAAGTTTTATTATTATGAGGAGAAACAACAATAAAATGTATATTTTGACTTTTAGAGTCGATGACATTATTGAAAGATGAAATGAAAAGTTTAAAATCAAATATCGATGAACAAGCAACCACAAATATTAATCTTGTTGACGATAAGTGATGAAGTGAAGAAAGGCTATATCAATCGAAATACTGTAAGAGATGGTTCATAATTAATCAATCTTCCGGTGCTTGTCGAATGTTTTCCTGATAGCAAACCAGTTTTAAATACCTTTTTTTCTGTTTGTTGTATAAATATATGCCATTCAACTCTGCACTGCAGCTTTTAATTTGTAAGCAAATGTTTCTTTTAATCCCATTTGATTTTAGTTAATAATTCAAATAAATTCGATTTCATATTAAATAAGAGTAGAACTATTTGATAACCAACAGGATTCTTGTGAGTAACGATCAACTTTATAATAGCATATGCGAAATCTCGAATATTGAGTTTATAATTTCGTGAACAAATGAATTTAGCATTGATTTTTTTCTTAAAACATTCTTTTATATTAAAAACTAATCACTAAAAAAGAAACAATAGTAACAGATAAATCTATTCAAGGTATAACGTGTATCATGTGATTTTCTTTTCAGTTAATTTATGAAAACTAATAATAGATAATGTGATATAGACTTTAATCAATTATATTTTTCGGAATCAAGTAAATGGGTTTGGTGTTAAATGTCGAAAGGAAAAATGTAGAATAGGAAAATGTCGAAAAGGAAAAAGTATATAGTATAAAGACCGAAAAGACTAACGTCGAATAGAATAGATAATCAGTAGGAAAAGGTCGAAAGGAAAATGTAGACAGACAAAATGTCGAAAATGAAGTTTTTAATTTTTATTTTAATATGACAGAATGAGTATGGGTAAGTGTGGGTGTACATAGCTTTCGTTTGTTTTTGCTCAGAGGGGGGAAAATTCAAGGGAGAAAGTCTCCCAATTTGAAAGAGAAAGCAATCCAAACTCAAGGAGAAAGTACTACATCTCGAAAGAGAAAGTAGTAAAAAATCAAAGAGAAAATAGTTCGAATTCAAAGAGAAACAGGACATGTTGAAGCAGAAAATCGCGACCTTTTCCACTTTTATAAGGGGAGTTACTAATTTTTGTGTCGAAAACACAATAGATTTGCTTATATATAACTCGGTGTGCTTGCTAAAAGATAAAATAGTAATGCTTCTAAAATTCTCAGAGAGAAAGCCTATATATGAGAAAAATATTAGGGAGGGGAAATGACCCCCCATCCACCCCCCCCCCCTAATCGTAGGCCCTGTGGGTGTAGGTGCGGAGAGAGTCCGAGTGCCTGATACGAAAGAGATTCTCAAACCCACACCCAAATCCATACCCACACCCATACCAACGCCCACATGCATACCTACACCCACACCCACACTAACGCCCACATGCATACCCACACCCACACTCATACCCACACCCACACCTACACCCCACACCCACACCCACACCCACCCACACCCTCAAACATTGATATAGTTTAGAAATAACATTATTACTTGGAAAAAACGAAGAATCAGGAAAGTAGCGCCGAAAAGAAGGAATACACCACTTGTAATCAATACTCGACGACGTATATCAATATATTTACAATCATTAAATTCCTAAATAAATGAAAAATTCAACAGAAAAAAACGCATCTTTTATATTTTGTTAGAATATTCACGTGAATAAAACCACTCACATTGATTATTTTTGCGAATAGAATTGAGAAGACTGGTCCACGTAATCCACCAAGTAAACATACTAAACAACCAATCAAGATAAACATCCATTCAGGACTATTCATCTTCAAGAGTCTAACAAAGACAGATTTTTCTCTTGTTGATAATGAAGCTCTCTAAAAATTAATATATTAATAATGCTTTTTTAAAAGTTATTAGATATTTATTTTTACTCGATTTATATCAGTTGCTTCGCTCTCACTCAATAGACGAACACGTTCCACTTTTCAAAAAAACAAAACAAAATCAAGTTTATAAAATATGATAATTATTTCTATTAGAATAGTAATAACATACATGGTTGTTCTTCATCTTCAGCCTCTGCTTTTGTCATATTCATTAATTCATCTTGTGTATGAATTGTTTTTATAGATTGTTGCATTTTGACCATTGTTTGATATTTCCCTCCTTCTTTTGCCAATAATGTTTCATGTGTACCTTCTTCAATTACACTTCCTTCATCTAATACATATATATAATCTGCATTTTGAGTTGTAGTCAAACGATGAGCAATAGCTATAGTTGTACGATCTATATATATAATAATAATAATATAATCAATAATAATTAAATAATTCTTACTTTTGCATGCTCGATCAAGTGCTTCTTGAACAATTTTCTCACTAACATTATCAAGAGCACTTGTTGCTTCATCTAACAAAAGAATGTTGGGTTGTTTGACAAGTGCACGAGCTAATGCAATACGTTGTTTTTCACCACCACTCAATTGTATACCACTTTCACCAACAAGTGTGTCATATTTCTGCAAAAAAAAGTATTAACATATACATATAGATAAAGACAAACCTTTGGTAATTTCATAATGAATTTATGTGCATTAGCTTGTTCTTCTGCATTTTCAATCTCTGCACGTGTTGCATTCAATTTACCAAAACGAATATTTTCATAAATACTTATTCCAAATAGAATCTATTTCAATATATAAAAATTCGACGAAGACTAGAAGACAAACGAAAGAAACCTTCAGGTTCTTGACTAACAACTGCAATATTTTGACGAAATTGTCTGATTTTATAATCTGTAATTGATTGATCATCAATCATAATTCTGCCTGAAGAAGGTTCATAATAGCGAAGAAGGAGTGATACACATGTACTTTTTCCTATCAATAAATTTCAATATTAAAATTTTATATTTGTTTCAGAAAAAGATTTACCACAACCACTTGAACCTACAAGAGCAGTTGTTTGATTAGCACGAGCAATCAATTTAAGATTATGCAAAGCTGCTACATTTTCTCTAGATAGATAAGAAAAACTAACATTATCGAATTCAATATCACCATTGATATTGAAAATTGATTTTTCACTAGATATGTTCTCTTGCAATATTCCTCTTTCGTTCAGATTTTCATTATGGACCTATATCACAAAAAATAAAGTAGAAAATATAATTACCATGGTTTAGTATCTAGTATTCAATCAAGTATACCTCGTCAATAAGCCGAAATACAGATACTGCTGCACCTTGAGCTTCCGCAATCGATTGAAAGAAGGAACCAATTGAATTAAGAAAACTTAAAGCTTGTCCAAACATATTTACAACCTAAACGAAAGTTCATTTTTCAGTTACTTTCTTGCATATTGACGCTATAGGTCACTTACAATAAGAATCTCACTAATGGTCAGTGTACGGTGATTTCCATAAGACATAAGAATGGAACCAAAAGTAAAACCAATTGAATAAACTAGAAAGGATATAAAAAATAACCAACCATTA